TCGCATAATCTGATCATTGCATTACTTCATGGAGTAATCTAATGTTCCGTTAATAGGATTTTCCTTTGAAGATCTAGTGGAATGAATATTTTCTCATAAAAAATAATTATGTTAAGAAAACAATTTCTTTACAGGTGGATGATAATATTCATACCGTTTTTGGGTTGGTGAATTACCAACAAACATACACTTTCTTGATAGTCCTTCTCTGGATGATATCCTAAAAATTATATAAAAACTTACAAGCTTGAGCACTTGGCCTTTTTCCATTATTTGGTATGTCAGACCTAATGCATATTTTCTTGACTTGATACACATATCCTATTTTTGATGTTGAAGATCAACACTCAATCGTGTCATTTCCAGCTTCCTTTGTCTTCAAGTTCTTCTAGAAGAAAGTGGTTGCTTAAGGTTCCTTTATTCACAACCAAAGGAGAAGATTGAGGCTATCATCTATGAAACATAAGTTACTTTTCTTACTGATGTAACTCGTCATTATCTAGTTATATGGCATGGATGACTAGACTATGACACTTCTTGGATTTTCGAAGACCAGTTCGTGAACTTGATCTTGATTTCTTCGAATGACATTTTCATTCTAAGTCTTCTAAATCAAGATCTTTTCTAGAATGAGAGAACAATGCCCGAGAAAGGAGAAAAAACATTATGGAAATTTTATATTATAATGAATATGAAGATTTGATCTTCCTTTTTCTAATTAGATTCTATTTATAGAGTTTTATTTAATTGGTTTTTCTTAGTTTTCTCTTAGATACAAGCGGGTTTGATTCTTTTGATTAGGTTTCTTGCTTATCAATATGGTAATTTGGTTGATAGTCATACTTTTACAATTATTATACAAACATGTTTAAATATTGATTGATTTCTGAAACCTGAGATACCTACTCTTATGTTCAAGTTTCTTTTTGTCTTAAAACAATTTATATTGATGTTTTTCTATTTTGATGCTTCAATTTTGATTCATTTCTTGTAGGATTGGAAATTTGGTCCGCACAACTATAAGAAGGTTACTCTATGCATCATGTCCATCATACCCATCTCGTTGGCGATTAATATGTCGTAACATGGTAAGGTCGTCCTTTTCTTGTTAATTTGATCTATTGCTTGAGTTACATGGTTCATCATTTTTTTTATTGGTATTCTCTATTTTAAGTATTAGGATGTTGCTTCAACTTGTACTGGCATATATTTTTTATTATTTTCTTATTGATAAAAGTGTTCTAAAAGTACACAACAATGCACATATTAGACTAAAAGCGATAAAAAAAAAAAGAAAAGTAATTTTTCATGTGGTTCAACAATATGCCCACTCTTAGAGCCACTTGCCAAGATTTTTCACTATGTAAAACACCTTTTATAAGTAGGGGGTTTTCTAATGTATAGTGGAAGGAAAGTTCAATTTAGCATGAATGCTCCTATGATAAAAATCATACTAGGCTTTGCATAATTTAGTGCCATGTTTGCATACCATTAAGAAAATTTTAACAATAATTATATTTTTTTAAAATAAAAACTATAATGTATAGTATTAATATGGGCATTAAAGGGTGTCAACCCATAGAGAAAAGAATTTATAAGTCTATTAACTTATGAATAAGGTCCCTTAAATTCTCCATCGATTATGGAGAATGACCCAAGAACAAAAAACTAAAAATTTGGAATCATCTGTTCTTAAGTAGATCAACATTCTCATAATCCACCCCATCAAAAGTCTTTTTGTTCATCTCCTTCCATACTGCCCAAAAAATGGTAAGTGGTAGTAGGCCCACTTGTTCCTCCTTCCTCTGATGCCCCTCCATGCCAAAATCTCATCTCTCACCGTTCCTTCCACCACCCAACCGATTCTTAACAACCCATATACCATAGTTTAAAGCCTGTACATAATCGAACACCAAATTAATCCATGATTACAGTTCTGCTCTACCATCTTGCAGAAATAACAAGCGTTTACCAAAATCTTCCCTTGTCTCCTCAACTTGTCAAATGTGAATATGCATTCCCTACTAGTCTTCTAGACAAAAAACGATACATAGGAAGAAATTTATACCTTCCAAATTTGTCTGTCTGGGAATCTGACACCATTGCTATCATGCTTGAACCGCTGCTTCTAGAACAGCTTAACCATGAAAGGCCTATTCTTAGTAAGGTTCTGTTAAGGCTTATCACTGCTACCATTCAGCGATACGAGTGACAGACTACTTATTAACTTCTCATATTCACCTATCTCCCAATCATTCAAATTTCTCAAGACCAATACTTGTCATTCCTTATCCGCCCTTTCCACCTATATGAAAGAGTTACAAATCTTTACATATTTCTGATGACTTATGACAAATATCTGAGGAAATTGAGCTCTAAGAGCACCTCCTTCCAGCCACCAATTCTCCAAAAATTTTATTGTAGCCCCCGTACCAATCTTTCACCTAATGCACATCTGAAATTTTTCTCGACCTGCCCCTATTTTTATCTCCACGCTCTTCTCATGAGATCTTGATCTCATTTTGGTGAACCATCCTTTCTCTTAAATATCAAATTTAGTTGCAATGATCCTTTTCCAATACGCTCCCTCCTCATTCATAAAAATCCATAACCATTTACCCTACAATGGCTCATTCATTTCCATCAAAGATTGTAAACCTAAACCACCAAGGTGTAGTGGTTTCTTTAGCACTTTCCATATCACCAAGCGATATTTTCTTCTACCTTCCACATTGCCCTACAAGAACCTACTTTGTACAACTTTCAGTTTCTTGTCTACACTCATCGGAATCGTCAAAAGAGGCATATAGTAAATAGGTAAATTTACTAATGTACTTTTGATTAGAGTGAGTAGTCCCCCTTTAGAAAGGAGGTCTTCTTTCCACCCTGCAAGTCTCTGTTCAAACCTATCCCCCATTGGGTCCCACATCTTTGCATCCTTATAATTTGTGTCCAAAGGTAAACTCAAATATTTTATAGGAAAACTAGCCATTTTGCACCATATAGCCATTTTTTCTAAAATAAAAAGTATAAGGTGGTATACTAATATGAGCATCAAGGGGGTGCCAACTCATGGGCAAAAGAATTTACAATGCACACCAGAGTCCTTACTAGTCGCTTCGAGTCTCCCTTCGTAACCTCACCATCTCTGATTTAGCAAATTTAACAATAATTATATATTTTTTGGTTGTTATGAGACACTTTCTTGAATAATTTAGTGCACAATGGCTGTCTTTCAATGTATTTATGGAGAAATAAAATGTTATATTTGTTACTGAATGTAAAAGATCCCATATATACACAACTCGTAGTATATAAAAGGAATCCCCCTAAAATTAATTATATGTGGGTATTTTACTTTTATACTGTTATATACTAAGTTATATATATACACACACACACACACACACACACTCTTTTAATACTCTCTCTCAAGCTGGTGGATATAAGTCATCTATTTCCAGATTGTAATAATTGTCTGAAAAATTGGGTTACTTAGACCTTTGGTCAGCACGTATGCAAGTTGCGAGTTTGTAGGTATGTAGGTTGTGCAAATCAAGCCAATTTATAGCTTTTCCTCAACGGAGTCCCTATAGACCTTAGCATGTTTCGTCCGGTCATGCTGCAGTAGATTATGAGCAATGCTTATTGCCAACTTATTTTCACGATAGAGTCTTATTAGGTCATGCCACTTAATCTTTAGATCTTTCAACCGTAACAGTTCACATACTCTTTGAGTGATTAATTGAAATTCTAATTCTGAACTAAATCTAACCACCAGCCTGCTCAACTCAGCAAGGTACTGGCTATGATCATTCCATCTTGCTTGATTGCATGCAGCTTCTTTTACAGTTTATAGATTGATTCATCATGTCCTACCTGAGAATAAGTTTGAGATGCTACACTCCGAATTTTATTGATAGTGTTGAGTAGTAGGTAACATAAGAAATTCGTGCTTGCATTGAGTTTATTAACAATGACATTGCAGGGAATTTTCGAATTCCCATTTGTTGAGCATGGGATCGCCATTGGCTGCTTTAGGCTTATCTCTAATAACATACCTTTTTCGTCCGTGGCCTTGGATGAAGAACACACAACACCATAACCAATCAATATAATTGATTTTATCAAGCTTTGGTTTGCAAGGAAGGGTTTTTTCCTAATGAATCCATTTTATGAGTACCACCCTAGCAGCTTTAGTAGTTTTCTCATATGCCATTTTTCCTCTTTCTTGCAAACTCCTGGAGGCACGAAGCTCTATGTGAAGCAAGCTTCAGTCAGTGAATTGGTTGTGTATATCTAGTTGAACCTTTCATTCCTCAAGTGCAACCTGGTGACACAAAATTCTATGCAAGGAAGTTTCAGTTGGTGGAGAGCCATAAATAACATTGGCAATTAGCAATTAAAAAACTAAAAATCAGGACTTTTGTAGTCAATCTCCAGCAGAAAGAAAGAGCGTTGGTTTAGGTAGGCTAGCGATGTTGGGATTTATAAAGTCGAAGAGAGTATGTAACGAAGAGACTATAGAGAAGGAAGGTCAGTTATATTTGCTACACAGAGTACGACATATATATATATATTTAAAAAAAGAAAGTTTTGATGATAGAAAGAATCTGTTTATAGAAACATAATATGGTCTATGGTAATAGATTTACCAGTAAATGGAAGATGCTTACAGAATAATATAAGAGAACATTCTACAAGAATTCTTGATGGTCAACAGAATAAAATCTAAGAAGATATCTTGCATTATTCTCGACTGTCAACAAAAGGAAAGATTGGGGCATAATTCCTTAGGGGAAGCAGTCATATGGTTCTGCATGTTGGATGACCTTGATGGTGTTTTTGATTGCTTAGTTTCTATTTATAAGCAGCTTTAAGCACCCTGCAAACAAACGGTACTTGTTAGGTTTTTAAAACTAATTCTAACCGTAAGTAAATAAACACCGCATTTCTTACTTTTTATGTTCTTATTTGTTATCTAATAAGTTTATTTAACTACCCTGTGGATATTCACTCAAAAACTAACAATATATAGACATATACACACACAAAAATGTAATTTGTAAGTTATTTGTAATAAATTTATATCTTTTACTAATTTTTACAGAAAATAATTGTTTATTTTTTGCAATCATCTCTTTATTCAAATATGTAAGTATTTATTTTTTTAAATAAGAATTTATCTGCTTTAAGTAACTTACCTTACTGTTTTAAGTATGTTTCTTTCATCTATTCCAAGCACCCCCTTGTTATGTCGCGGAACTCTTCAAGTGACAAGTTGAGGTAGGAAAAATTAGGTCAATTACCTATGTATTAATTTGGGATAAACCTAGATATTGCACCTATTGGCTCTTAGATTTTATAAAGCAAGAAATTCTCAAGTGATTTGATAGGATTGGACGATAAAAAGTATTTAGAGAATTATTAAAATACTTTATTGGATAACAGAATTGCTATCAAAAGTGAGAATATCAAGGCTATAGTGTTTCGTTAGTAACTTTTCTCAATAGGATTAAATTAAGAAATTTCACATAAATACTAATACTCTAAGGAAATACTACTACGTTTAGGAATAGGGAAACTAGTACTAACTTTATACTTCAAAGAATTTAAACTATATGCCTAAAAAGATACTAAAACCTAATATATTTCCATACTATTATAAAATTATAAATTAGCTTCTATATAAGTTCTAATCTATTTAGAAAATCTATAGTCTACACTATTCTATATCATTCTTGGTCTTTGTTTTGTTAAGTTTAATCTCTTACTTGCATCATTTTATTTGTTATTAACTTGAGGGCATATGTCTTTTTATCGTTGTTATGGAAGCATTTAGTAGATTGTTGAAAAAGGGTAGGGAAGAAAATCTGATTGAAGGGGTGGTTATAGGGAGGGGTGACAGAAGGGTAGAGATTTTGCATTTATTTTTTGCTGATGACACACTCATCTTTTGTCAATTGAAGGAGAGGATGATGCTTCACCTTAGATGTATTCTCCTTTGTTTCCAAGCCGTATCAGGTTTGGATATTAATTTGAAAAAATCTGAATTGCTAAGGATGCGGGACAATCAAGATAGGATGCTGGGTGTAAGGCAGTGAATCTTTCAATTAAATATCTTGTAATCCCTTTGGGATCAAAATATAAAGATTTGAAGACACAAGGCCTATTAGTTGATTTATTCGAAAAAAGAATAATGTCACCAGGAGGGATTGGGGTGGAGTTTGCTAACTTTCCAGCTAATCAGATTTTGAAGACCAAGGTGCCACCAAGAATTGCTTTTCTCTCTTGGAAAGCGAGTAGGGTATGCAAATTGACCTTGGACAAACTAATGTGCAAGGGGAAAAATACTTGTAAACCAGTGTTTTCTTTGTAAAATGGATGGAGAATCTTGCAATCATATTCTTTTATGGTGCTCGATTGCATATAGCTTATGATGCATGGTGTATGGGCTACTTGGAATTTATTGGGTGATAGTGGGGTCGGTGAAGGACGAGATTTGGACGTGCGGTGGAATTTGTGAAAAGAAACCTAGCTCAAGTTTGTTCCACTGTCAATATTTTAGATGATTTGGAAGGAAAAGGATGTTAGAGCTTTTGAGGGCAATGAGGGGGAGAATGTTAATATTATAGATAGATGAATAAATACTTTTGGCTCTTTTGCTTGGGGTCATGACATTTTTAGGTTGAATGATCTTGAGAATGTCATTGATCTTCTAACTGATTTGTAAATGATTTTGTATATGAGTGGTATCTTGTTGGTACCTTGTTAATGTATACTAAAGTTGAGGGCTTACATAAGCTCCAACTCCAGAGAAGGATGTGTTAGAGAAGTAGAAGATATTCACATACAGATGGTATTTGCATCTTTAGGGTGCTGCAAGCTGAGTTTTTAGTTCTAACGAGTTCAAGTGTGTGTAATACTTTAAGCTATTTCTTTCCCCTAGTTTTTGGACTAATAACAAAAAAAAAAGTCTCCTTTGCAACTTTAAAATAAACACAATTTTTTATTTGATAAAAAAGAGTTTCTAGAATGAAAGTTTTAAGTCCAAATTGGAGGGAGTTTGATAAAAAACCTTGGTAAAAGGAGTGTGATTTTCCATTTCGAGGCCTGAAAAGAAAAATGCTAGCTTGTCTGCACAGCTCTTACACTTCCTTTGTTTTTTCACCAAAATCAACTGTAAGGTCTTTGACCAACAAAAAGTCCAATGCCAGCACCCTCTATACTTTGTTCTTACATAGTTGGTTTCTGTTTCTTGTCATGAGAGTTCTTAAATGCCTACTTACTATCTCTAAAACATAATAATAAGAATAACGGTAATAGTCTATCGACAAGAAAATAAGTGCTAAAAAAATCTGTCATTTTGTTCAGATTCTCGCTACATCATCCAGAAGAACTGAAGGTGATAACATCACAGAAAATGATTCTCTGAATGGTACAGAGGGTGACACAAGGTTTCATTATGGAGAAGATGATGACAATATGGTTTCTAGCTCTAGAGGCACAAAAATTCATGTTTATCGTGACAAAAATAAGCATCTCAGATACCGAACAAAAGTTTTTGCCGCTGAGTAAGTGAATATGGTATGCTGTACATCTTTATTTCCAATTGTTTTTTTTTGTTTTAAACATATGATTCACTGTTTCTCAATGTTCTTTTGAGCAAATTTGGACAGAACTCAAGTAGGTCCATTCTAGAACTAGATTGTGTATTGATTTCATGATTGATTTCAAGTTGTATTTTCACAGAACTTTTGAATGATATGGATTCTGCAAATTTGTTTGCCTCTAAAGATATCATAGAGAATTTATATTATTCATGTGTATCTTTTGGGAGACGTTTCTGCTGAACATACATATGATAACTGATTATTATTTCTGCAGACACGTAGAATCAGTGAATATTGCATGAATTCTCTTTTTCCTTTTTCTTTTATTTCCTTTTTCTGAATAGGACCTGAACTATATGCATGCCGTGAAAGTAAATTTTCAATATGTGCAACATTTTTATGGTGCATATCTTTGATGTGGTGAGGTGGACTTTGAGCCTCATCTTGAAGACCCTGAATGCACAAGTTTAACTGAACTTTAGAAGCTTTTGATATATTGAATAAAGAATTAACTTTCTGGTTGTGACTTGTCGGGTCATAGGTGCTTGAGTCTTCTACCAGAAGCTGTGGGGACGAATCCTGCTCATTTTGATCTGTCCTTAGCAAGGGAAAAACCTGTTGATAAACAGAATTCTGGTGATTGGTTGGTGCTCCGGCTACAAGAGTTAATATCACTTGCTTATGAGGTACTAAACAAGAAAATACTTGCTTACTATTAAGTTACTAATTTCGATCTTCTGGAAAATATACATATATTATAGTTTGTCTATATATTATTCTTTCCATAGATAAGCACTATTCAGTTTGCAAACATGCGGCCAATTGGTGTGGGACTACTGAGTACCATTATCGACAAGGTAAATTTGTTTAAGAATTCAATCTTTTTCTCGTAAAACTTTGTCCCTGTATTAGGTTTACTAACTCTATCAGTTTCTGTTCAGCACTAATTGTATTTCTTAGTCCAATTTGGTTTACAGCCAAATAGCCATATTCTACGGGAATCCTGCATTAGGCAACTAAAAGGACTATTCAGAAGTTTCTAATTAAATAATTGTTAAAGCTTATTCTATCTTCTTTATCTTTATTTTAACTCAACTTAACTCCACTAAGCCTTGTCTTTGGTATGTGAGTTGGTTGCAGGAATTTTGACATTACAAAGATTTAATGATGCTTTGGAAATCGTCTCCTTGGTCCAGGTTTTGAATTGCCTTTTGACAAGGATCACGGGCCAAGTTTTCTGAAATATTATTGGTGGAACTATATTTATATATTAATGCCATCTCTCTTTTTAGATATATCTAAATGTGATCAACCATATTAATCCCCCGTTCCATCATTCCAGTCTAGTTTTCCAATTTATTTTTTTATCTTTTTAAGATCCCTAAGGATGTGACTGATAGAATTGAGAAGGTGATGAAATCTTTCCTCCTGCTGAGTTCAAGTGAGCCTAAGAGATCTTAGTAAAAAAGAAGGTGGCCTTGGTACTGTTATTCATTTTTGTAAAAAGTGTCTCTTTTAACTAAATGATTACGGAGGCTTTCTTTGGAACCCAATTCTTTGTGACCTAGGGTAATCAAGAGTTTGTCTGGTCGTCACCAGTGGATGAGATTCCAAGGCAAATATTTCCAGAACTCATAAGAGGCCCTGGAAAGTGATTTCTAATCTTGGTGCTTTTTTTTTTTAATCTTTACTTCAGTTGGGAGTAAAGGATGGTGCTCACTTCTTTTTCGAGAGGACCCTTGGACTGATAATGATTCACTTGCTTCTTGCTTCCCTGGAATTGTTAGATATTTTTTCTTATAAGTCCTATCTATATTCTTTATATACAATTCTATTACTCAGAATTCTCCCTTTCTATGTGGAGAAGGCCCTATCTCCTTTAAATGTAAAAGTTTTTACTTTGCAAATTTGGGTAGGCTTAATGCTAATCATATACTTCAACTTCTCAGATGAAATGGCGCCTTGTCTCCAAAGGCTTGTATGATGTGCTAGAAAGCTGCAGAGATTCATAATCACCTCTTTTTACATTTTGATGCATCTTTCAATTTTTGGACTCATGTTCTTGAACTTCGATTTCTCTTGTGCCATCCTATAGTTCTCCTCTTCGGTTCTGATGCTTCCAGCAATGAAGAGGAGTTAAAATCTCTTTGAATTGGGGCAACCTTTGGCAGCATGTGGGTGATTTGGCTAGAAAAGAATGCAAGAATCTTTTGGGACTATATGTCACCTTTTTTTATTATTTTGGGCTAAAGCCAAGGGATTTTTAAGGAAACTTCTCTTTCAGTTTCCTGCAGAGATTGGCTGGCTATCCTTTTTAATGTTTAACTAGTTTTTCTCTTTTTTCTTTGTTTGTTTTCTTCGCCTTACTAGATATACCCAATCCTCTTATTTGTATTTTTTCGTCCTCGGTGATATCTCTTCTATTTCCTTTGTTCTTAAAAAAAAAAAGGTAACATTGACTATTTCTGTACCCCTTCTTCAAGTTAGTTCATAAATGTTTTGGGCATCCATAGTCAACCTCATGGCTTCCAATGTGTTCAATGCTGATCAACCTGAATAACCTTGGTCAACCCTAGCGTCATGATCTAGTAGCTCAAAATTAAACAATTTTTCTTAGAATCACATGAAGACAGATTGTTCTTGCATTCCACGTGTAAGGGCCTGCTTAATAGTTCTTATATTCTTATTTTCAACTTTACATTAAATAATTACTTTAAGTTTAATATTGCATTAATTAAGCTCTTGCACGACTTTCGTGTTGGTTTTCTTATGTTCTAAGAGCTGCATTATTATTGACATTTGGCATATTTTGTCTATTGAAGTTCTTGCATTCATATTATTCTTTTCATCTGTTTTGATTTTTATCGTTCTTGAGTACAGTTTGAAACAATACCTGACCCCGAGCTTCCAGGACACCTTCTTCTGGAACAGTATCAGGTATGCAATTTGTCACTTTGCTTCAGATCGGTTCCCAAAACCTATATGCTTTCTTGTCTGACATGTTTAATTTATCTATCCAATTTTGGATGTAAAGAGATTATTAACTTCCAATGATGTCTTATGCATGCTTCTGACGTAAATATTCCAGTTTTATTATATGTTAAATAGAAACGCTTTTACTTGTAAAAGAAGTGATATTAGGAAGTTGGTAAAAAAAAATGCAACCATGAAGGACTAGTTATCCTCCCTGCAGAAAGAAAACAGATATACAAGAAACAGAGATAAACCAGCTATGCTCAAAATATGATGATTCCAATTTCTGCGCAACATAGATAAATCTTTAAAATGTCCAAGGAACTTAACCCAAAAGGATTCTGAAAAAGACACTGTGTCACAAAAAAGTAAAAAAATGAGAATTAGTCTCTGAAAATTCTGGTGTTTCTCTCCAACTAAATCCCTCACAACCCAAAAAACATAGCTCCATGCTGTAGAACCTTAACCTCCATCCAGCCAACAGCTGCAATGGTAGAAGAAGGTAGTTATGTAATTTATATAGGGTCTCCGTACCAAGAAAAGAAAATCCGTAGATAGGAAACATAAACATCGGAAAAGAGTTATATAAGAAAGTAACATACAACAATATACAACTATGTTATATAATCACTAGTTGCTATATATATTAAATGAGTTCATGTACCATTTTTAAATATTCTGATTGGTCTTAATTAAGTTTTTGCTTTGTTGGTCCTTTTACTTCCAAAAAATTTTTGGTTTACTCCCAATCCATATAATATTGCTAATTTTATTGGTGGATTTATCATATACTAGCGAGTGTGTAACATGACTATTTCTGGTAAGATGAATTTTCTTGTCAAATGCTACACGGTATTTGACATAAAAATATTTAACATTTAATTATTTTTAATAAAACAAGAAATTAAAAGATTAAAAAAATTAGAACATAAATTAAAAAATTAATAGTCACAACTTGGCTGCAAGAATTTATTTTTTTTCAATTTATGTCTTTAATTTTTTTAAATTTAATTTTTTGTTATATTATTAAATAATTGAAGATCAAAATATTTTTTTTACGTCAGATATCATGTGATATGTGACGTAAAAATTTATCTAATTAGAAATAATCCGTGTCCAACTCGCTGTTACGTAACAATTTCACTAACAATATTTGCGACATTTAACGGGCAGGGAGTAGTACAAATGTTTTTGCAAAACACAGAGATCAAAAGGGTAAAAAATTAGTACAATTATTAATTTGAATATTTAAAAATAATACAGAGACCAATTTAGTATTTAGGCCTAGTTGCTCTTGCTACTTCTGTGTTACCTTTGCATAAGCAATCATCGGATGAATCACATTTGACTCTTCATAAACTTATAATATACTAACAAAATACTTGGTAATTGTGTCCTCATCTTGCGGATTGGGCATGTTGCTGGCATACAAAAGCCTCATAAACTCGTTTAGGCTTATAAAGTACTCACTAATTGTTTTCTCAAGTTGTGGAATCAGTCATGTTGTTAGCATACAAGAACTTTTCTGTCTCATATTTTCTTATGTGAATTAAGGTGGGCACATAGCAGCAGCATGAGGTTTAAATTGAATTGCGCAATAGACTCAAAATTTGTGAATCCTCTAGTTGTCAAACATCAGTTTTGACTGATTGTTGTTTTGGTAAAAAATCAGTAAGATGTTAATGTTTACCTTGTTCCATGAGGTACACCTTCGTCGGTTTAACCAATTCCATTTAATAGTTCCCATTAAATGCGAAGTCTAGTAATTTCTAAGGGAATGCTAATACTTGAAACTGACGGGGCTAACTTAGTATTGACATCACTATTCAAATCTTTGCTTGCTAGTACTGAAAAGCAGCAAGTGCAAACAAATCACAAAGTCACCAGCACAACAAAAACAAAAAAGGGCTCCTAGATAGATCACCAAAAACAGTCCCACCTTGTCATAACATGCAAGAGGCACTTAAATTACCATTCAGTGTCTCACCTATGAACAGGATGAAGATACACTCCATAAAAGCCAAGAGAATTTCTCAGATGACTCAAATTATGTTGGATTTGATTGTCATTGACCAGTAGTAGTGGCATGTGAGCCTCACATGCCAATGGTCAGTGGCGCATGCAACACTGACTAATAATAGAACCCAGCAGTGAGGTTTCCCGATGCCAGCAACTTAGGATTTGGAGTGGACATGTACAAGTATGTCTCCCACAGACAAAATGACTTTCTCTCCTGGGTTTTGTCACCAAATGAGTTTTGTTTTTATTTATCTTTTTTAACAATACTATCTCTTTCCTAATTAACCTTTGCTCTAATACCATGTAAAAGAAAGTAACTTTATATGTTTTAAAAAAACTATATCCCTATGCTAAGAAAAAGAAAATCAGAATGAGGAACTTAACTATATAAGAAAAGATCAATACATGAAACTAACTATAGAGGAAATAATATAATTCATATTTCTTTATTTACTTGAAAGATAAGTATACTCTATAACTGTTATGCTCCCTACTGACAGATCTTGTTATGGGTTGATGAAACTGAAAATCAGTACGAATTTTTGGATATTTTTGTCTTTTGTCCTTGATTTATTTTGATTTGAGTATGAACCCATGAAGAGAGAACTCAACGATCTTTTGAATAAGAAAGTACTCAACTCTTTTTTCTTCCAGTCTAACAATTTTTTTTAAAGGAAACAGCATGCACTTATTACAAGAGAGAGAGTAATTATCTTCATTTTTAGAATTGTAATAAGTACCCACTTTTCCTTATCTAGAATATTCTCTCTAACACACATTGCCTTATTCTCCCTAATTCATCTGTCCACACTTGACATATCATTTTACACATAACATACACTGACTTATTCTCCTTAAATACATTTGTCCACACTTAAAAAATTGTTTATTCTCCCTAGTACACCTGTAAATACACCCCTAATACACACATAATGCACCATACTACTTCCCACAACAATAACACACTAAATATTTATGCATGGCGCCAATTGATTTATGCTCTACAAAACCAGGCCCAACTCTTATCTGCAGTTCGTACTGCATTGGACACTTCCTCCGGTCCTGTTCTTTTGGAGGCAGGCTTGCAGCTGGCTACTAAGGTGAGAATGTTCAGGCCACAGTTTTCAATACACTACTATATATAGATGACACCTGCATTATTTTATGTTTATTATCAGATAATGACCAGTGGAATGATTAGTGGAGATCAAAATGCAGTTAAACGCATATTTTCATTAATTTCTCGCCCCTTGACTGATTTCAAGGATCTATATTATCCTTCATTTGCAGAATGGGTCTCATGCAAGGTTTGCCAGCTTTCCTTTTTCATTTTGTTATCTTACATCTATCTGTTTAATTTTTTATTGTGTAAAGCACACCTGCTTAATCTAGGATGGAAGGGCTGTGACCAATTTGTTAATATTAAATAGATCAAGATCAGGCTTCTTGCTGCTCATGCCTCCCTCAAATGTTATACATATGCATTCTTGAGGAGACACCATGTGGAGGTTCCAGATGAGTATCAAGCCTTGTTACCATTATTTTCTGAAAGCTCAAGTAAACTGGGGGAGTACTGGGTCCGACTCTTGAAAGACTACAGTTATATTTGCTTATGCCTCACTCTAAAGAGAAATGTGAGTTTAGTTTTAGGACACTATTTATTTAATTTTTTACATCAGATTTATCTTTGTTTCAACCTTATTGTTACTTTTTTCTTTTCTTACAGTGGACTCCGTTACTTGATGGAATCCAATCACCTATGGTTTCAGCAAAGCTGCAGCCTTGTTTGGAAGAGGCCTGGCCAGTTATTCTGCAGGCACTTGCACTGGATGCAGTTCCTGCGAGAGTTGGTGAGGATGGATTATCAACAAGTGGCTTAATATCGGGATATAGCATGGTTAAACTAGACTCTCGAGAATATCAGTTTTTATGGGGCTTTGCTATGCTTGTCCTATTTCAGGACAACCATCCAGCACGTAGTAAGCAGATAATACCATTAGGAGAAACTAAGGCAAAGTCTGGTGCAGACTCTGAAGAATCTGGTCCTCCAAGCTTGAAGTTATATGAAATTGTGTTACCAGTATTCCAGTTCTTTTGTGCGCAAAGTTTTTTCTCAGTGGGATTTCTTACTATCAGTATCTGTCAAGAATTGCTGCAGGTGGTCTTCTTCTATATATATATATATATTAATTCTTCTCAGCTTTTAAGTATTTCCTTTATATTTCGTGCCATCTGTTCCTATACGAGTTTTGTTTTTATATCCTATTTACTCTTTTTAATTCTGGCTTATCTAAAGTTCTGTTTGTATTTCCTATTTATTCTCTTTTTGTGCAATTTTAGATAATGCTTTCAGACTCCCTAAATATCTGCCGAGGCTTGCATTTGGCCATGACATCAGAGGTTCTTCTGCCACACATTTTTTTGAAAACATGTTTGTCCAAATTATTAGCTTATTGTGATCCCATTTGCAATTGTAAATAGTATAAGAGGCCATTTGGATTAGCTTTTTTCTTCTCAGTTTTAGTTTATAGACTAGCTTTAAGGAAAAAAGGCGTGCAAATTTTTTTGGTAAGTGCTTTCGGTTTTATAAGTTCTTGGTCCCAAAAGCAAGTTTGTCATATCAACTTATCCTTTAGTTTATAAGTTCTCAAAACCTAACATAACCTAATAGTTAACATAACATTCTTTCACAATCGACAATTTGATTTTCTTAGAGACAGCTTTCTTCAATTTGATTTTCTGTAATCTATATACGCTGGATTAAAACTAACATGTTACTAGACCTTTTGCTCGTGTATTTTCTCGTCTACTATATCAAAGATAACCTGTTTTGAAATGTTTCTCTTTTGCTTTGGTGGAACTTGAGATGAGGAGACCACAAAATTTGGGGACTCTATAAATGCTGATTCTCCTTTGTATGTACATGGACAATACTCCAATATATCTGGTCTTTTATGCTACTTTTTCTTCTAAAAAGAGAGAGAAAGAGAATACTTGGAAGAAGAGGAAGATGGGCCCCGGCTGCTAAAAAGTCCTGCATCTACAGCATTGAACTTCCTAAAGCAGTTCTTTCATTCTTACCAATAGGTTGCCATTAAATATAGCTGGAAGGTCCAAGTGGTTCAATAGCAGATGGAGCCTGGAACTGCCATAACATTAAATTTGTTGTACTATGTTTTATTGATGTCATGTGAAGGGCCTTTCTCCTTCAGGCCTTTTTCAAAATTTACAGTAAATGATTCTGCCCTGCTGTTCCATGTCAGATAGCAACGAGAAATGTCGATCATATCTTGTGTTATTTTACTTGCTACTTGTGGAGAAAATTTGGGAATGAAGTGCTGGAAGATGAATTCTGGTGCTAAAGTCATAGATATAACTTTTTAATCTTTTTTTCCTTCGGGCCTTTTTCAAAATCATAGAGATGGAAGATAAAATGTTTTTATGTTTTCAGCAATTTTCTTTCTTTCTCTCTGTTAGTGCTGTTTTAGGTCATATGTTCAATAGAATTCTTTCGTATGAATATAGATCTTGCGTCTAGCAACTGCAGTAAGTCTAAAGATTTACCTTCTGCCTAAGTTGGTCCAGCCTAATCCTGTATAGATGCATGTTAATTCATCTTCATGTCAGTTAAAGGCAGAGTGGGATTTTTCCAGCAGAATATATCAGATGCAGCACTTATAAAATATGCTTAGGCTCATATTGGTTGCATCTGCATTCTCATTTCATTTTTCACTAATGGTTGTATGCATAATCATAACATGAATTTTTATTTTCTTGTGCTATTCCCACAACCAAAAGAATTCAAGGGAGTAGGGATAGCTCAAACATAAAAGTTCATGCTGCAATTACATATCAAGACCCTAATCGGCTTTTCTGGTTTCTCTTGATGGTCAGTATCCTGTAAATTCTTTTTCTTCCATAATCTGTTAAACAACAGAACTAATGTCTTTGATTAATCTTCTATGGCTTTTGTCCTACCCATAACCTGGATTTTCACACTTGCAGCCTTGAAAATTCAGATCTTTATACCTGTAGATCTTTTTTAGAATTTCTCATTGGCAACCCTAGTGCCAACAGAGACATTTGGTATTGAGGAAGAATGAATGTTCTATGTATTATTGAATTAGAGGGCCCTATATATAAACATTCTCAGGGTAATAAAAGCAAACATACAATTCATTACAAATGTAGATTTTTACTAGCATAAGTTATACCTTGATTATACAAAGATACACTTTCCTATTTACTGAATATTTTCCAACGCTCTCTCTCAAGCTGGTGAATAGATATTGTCTATTCCCAGCTTGGAAATTATCATTTAAAATCCTGGATTACTCAACCCTTTAGTTAACATATCAGCAAGTTGTTTAGTGGGGGGTATATACAGCGTGCAAATCATACACTGGTTGAGTGTGATATATTAGCTTCATTTTTTAAATTCCTCAGATAGATGGGACTGTTGTTTGTTCCATTTGATATTACCTTACACCTTATTAAGTTAAATCCAAGAAAGAAGTAGATGGTCGTTGGTGTTTGTCCTGCTTGGTATTATCTTACACCTTACTAAGTTTAATCCAGTGACAATGAAAGCCAGCTATCTTGAATGTGTGTGGTAGGATGACTTATTATTTTAATATTTATTCTTTGGTTGACTTTTTATAATGTTCATGCTTGTAGGTTTTATCATATTCTGTTTATATGGAGAACTCATGGGATAGCCTTGCAATATCCATTTTAGCACAGGTAAGCATCAGCAGTCTCTCTTTTTTTGCATCATCTAACTTTTATAGTAATACATGGCTGCAATGCGGCCCAAAACCTCAACCTCCAGCCTAAGATGGAGGACCCTGTGAATTGGGCTTAGGTGGGCACTTGCATCGGCAAGCTCTTTGGGATAATGAAGTTTTACATTTGAAAAAGATGATTGGGACTATTGATTCTGGCCTTCATTTTGCATCTTCTTGAACTTAGTTTTTGTAGATTAAACATGTAATGACTGCACTATACTGAGAATTCTTGGGATGGGATTGTCCAGATGCTTCATGATCTCGTTTTCTTTTTGTAGAGACATTTGTGTAATTTTGAAGTATCATTCACTTTTCTCTCACATGTCCTAGATAAGTTTATTATCCCATTCTATCAACAGATTGTTCGGAACTGTCCTGAAGATTTTCTTGAAACAGAGGAATTTACTTATTTGGCAATGGAGCTTTGTTTTGGTTTCCTCTTCAAAATTTTTCAGAGGTAACTGCTTTAGTTTGATGATGAAATTCAGTAGTATCTGTAGAAGACTTACGATGCATCACCAAAACTTCCCTGACCTAAGAATCCTTACATCCTAATGTTCAGTTCTGAAGCAAGTTTCACAGATGATACAAACTGGGAGGATTTGATCTCTCCTTTGTTGCTTACTGCAAAGTCTCTAATGAAGAATTTTAAACTTAAGGTAAGTTTCCGTATACGTATTTAAATATGCCTTATGCTTTCTTGATTATGGTCATGTTGAAGTCTTCTTCAATGTTAATACATGTCGGACGCCTTACTAACGTCAGACTTAGGCTGAAAGAAGAACAGAGAAGAGAGTATGGAGAGACAGAGATACTAGATTGAGAGAGAAACTTGTTTAGAGAAAATTGTTCTTGATGATTGATTCATTAAAGGCCATCTATTTATAGGCTTTTGGTGTTGGAAAAGAGAGTGTCTAACCTCCAGGTGCGCCTGGATGTTGTATCAGCAACAAGTGGCTACAACTGATCGGGTAAAGGTCCCGATCATTAGCTGCATTCTCTTTTACCCGACTCCCACTTGCATGCTGTTACATTTACAATGAAAAAGACTATTTTACCCTTGAACAAATTGACCCTTTTTCCCTTGTACAATCTTTTCCCATTTTACCCCTCTTCCTATAGTAGACCTTGAGTGGTTTATTTGCAATACACTAAAAAGGTTTAGTTTTCTTCTGATTGTTGGATTGCATGTTTTTCTAAGCAGATGCAGTTCAAGTCTGTGCCATTAGCACTTCTGTTGATTGGATACAAGGGCATTAGACAAGCTTCAACAGAGTCTTGCCTTTCAAAAGTAATCGACTTTGCAAAGGGTGCCAATGACATAGTGAGGAAGCTTTTTTATGGTAAGTAGTACGATGTAGAATCGGTGATGCAAATATTATGCATTTTCTCCTATTCTTTGCCTGTAGATAATATACATAGATTTGCTCAAATATTTGTGCCTGATTCCTAGCTGATGGTTGTATAACTAAATGTATATATGTTTTCAATTAATGGACCAGTATGATAGGAGAATACTTTGGTCATTTTTATATCAAAAGAAATCCTTTTCTATTTGAAGTTTAAGGAGAGAATAAGAAAAAGTCACTTAAAAAACAATACAAATCAATTTTAGTCATCTTATTACAAAAAAGATAAAAAGCATTTATTTCGATCAGAAACTTAAGTAAATAAACACAAGATACAGTTGACAGTCAGTGGCGTCTCCCCTCTATTACAGGTAGGAACAATTGACTGCATCAAATTTTGGAAAAATAATCTCTCATATACGTAATTTTTCATTAAGAGAAGATTTCCATATGATAGTTTTGATAATTTGAATCTCATTGGTCGTTACAAATGATAACTTTGATCTAATCACAATGAAGTATATTTTGACCCCACAATATCTTTGATGATTTTGACTTATAGATATTGACCCTACTGCCAATTGGTTTTAGTTGTAGCCCTACTGATTGTGGCACATCATTTTAAAATAGTTAGGTGATTTAAATTTTAAGCAAACTACTGCATTTTGAATCTTTGTTCTCCCTTGTATAAATCTATTAATGCAATTCACTCCCAATCTCTTTACATGTTAGCCGGATGTTATCACAACTTTACTTCAGTAAAAAAAATGTTTACAAATTTACTTGTATGTATATATGTCTTTGTTGCCTGAAGATTTTAGAGTTGTACATCAACGTGAAGGTTAAAGCAATGGAAATTTTCATTAAGATAAAATTGTATATAAGATATTTTAGTAATAAACTAACAGACATAAAGCTATATAAGTAATGCATATATTATATACTTGTATTTTTCTTAAATGAGACCTTTTTGTTTTTCTATTTTAAAAAAGAAGACTAATGGTTATTATATTAATGATAAGCTTTTACTGAAAATTACCAAAAAGAATATCATAATAAAATATAATATGTTTTTTGCTTCTAGTTGTATAATCTGAAGATACAACTTAATAAAGTATAAGAAAATTAAGTTTTTATTCCAATAAAAGTTTTAGTAAAATATAATTTGTGTTATGGTAAACCAAAGCTCACAGGAGTTATTCCAACCATTCTCTTGCTGAGCTCTATCAGAACTGAGAGGCAATTATTTGTCCTCCCAGAGGATGACACTTTTCTTTTATCTATTCTTTTCTTTAGTGTTACAGTATGAGGAGGATATCTTATTGACCATGATTGTATTTGTCTCTCCTTTTTTTAGTAGTACCACTTTTTCTATCAGAAAACAATATTAGTGTTATGGTATATGATATCGAAATTAATGACAAATGATAATTAATTATTTATTTCAAGTAACAAGATTAAAATGTATAAAATAAATGAAATATAAACAAAATATAAATTTAAGAATATAAAAGAAAATATAAATAAAAATATTTTTGTTCGAAAATTTTACAAAATAATAATTAAAATAACAAAGATTTTTTTTCTAAAAAATAGTTTTAAAAATAATATATATACATATACATATATATATATATATGTATATAAGGATTTGTTGAAGGGTAGGTGGATAACGTCGATAGCATTGTGGGTTAGCAATACTCTCTATGATGTGATCTCAAGAATTGCAACCCATTTGACACATGAATTCTGGAGGCTAACTGGATTCTGTTGCAGATACTCCTGAAATTGCCAGTGATGCTAAACTCTATCTGAGAACTATATTTGGTACTTGGCTGGATGTGATTGTTGATCTGACTGAAAACTGCATTGAGGATCTTCATCTCTTTGAAACTAAGAGAGACAATTCAAGCAAAGTATCATTATTGAAGCTTGCATTCTGCATTGAACAAAATGTTTCATTGGCCAAGCTAGCTCATGAACTTGAATGTCAAGGATATGACAAAGAGTACAGCCCTCTCCATTTTAGCGTATTTAAGTATTGCAGTAAATGCATCCAAGCTGTTCTTACCCATTCAAATATACAGGTAAGAGGATTTCTATCCATGTAAAATGGTAATAATATTATTTTCTTAGTCCCCAATGATGCTACTTGTGATGTCCTATCTGCAGGTACAAGCAACTGGTTTGCAGGTACTCAAAAGCATGGTGCAGAGAGGTACCAATTTTGAAGACAATTTCCTGATATTCTTTGTTGGAGAACTTCTTGGAGACGTTTTCACCATAATCAAGAGGATATTGAAGGTGTTCCTTCTCCCTTGTTTCTTTAAACCTTTGACCAATTAAGAAAATGGACTCCTAGTCAGTAACATTTGTTTTGCTTCACTGTATATTGTTCTGAAGATACAGTAAAAATTCTGTTGTTGACAGAAACCTATAACTAGAGCATCTGCAACTACAGCTTGTGAGTGCTTAGGAGTCTTAATGCTTCTCCAGACACAATCCAAGGCTATTGAAGCTCAGAAAGGCTTTATGAATCTTTTCTTGGAAGCCATTCTTATGGTATTCTCCATATCAGAAGATGGTTCTTCTAAGGTGCACTACTTCTGTTAAGTTATTCTAGGACAGAAATTAATTTTTTGTTGAACTTATTCTTTTTGTTAACCTTTTAATCTGTGGTCACCAATTTCAGGAAGTTAATGACATAAAAAGCACCGTTGTTAGGCTTGTGTCTCACTTGGTTCAAATTCCTTCATCAGCTGTTCAGTTCAAGGATGTTCTGTTATCAATGCCTGTGCCACAAAGGCAGCTACTTCAGGTACACCTTTAACTTAAGTTGCTCTTGTAAACTGCCCTTATCCCGAATAAATCTTTTTCCAGTATTTTACATTCCCCACATTTTTTTTTAAATAGGTCTAGTTGCTATTTTACTCTTACAACTTTTTAAGCTGTGTAATAGACTAGTTTTGTTTTAGGTCTCAATTCTCATCCCAAAGATTCAAAATTGATATATATGTTCAATATATGTTCGAGACATGCAAAATTGTCCTTTTCGTGTTATAATTAGGTCCTGAGAAAAGCTTAGAAGGATTTGTTTAAATATTTTTGGTAGTTCGTGGACTGGGTAGTAAAAAAATTGAGACCGATTTATAACAAATGATTTGGATATGAGATTAAAATGGTAGCTAACACTTTTTAATATTATGAATTCCTCCTGCTTTTTCTTAATAGAATAGAAATGTACTACTAAGAAAAAGGGGTAGCACTTGTATATAAAAACATTGTTTACAAGAAGATGTGAAGCCGAAAGTTCCATCAAGTCTAGTAACTTTCATCCCTCATGATTGTTCAAGGTCATACAAACTATGCATTTTGTAATAGCACTGTCCTTTGAAAGTGGGTGGTGCCCAAGTACTTTTTATCGAGTTTTCTTTCATGCTTGGCAATCTCACCTTGGTGGCTTGTGGATAAGTTTCTATATTGAAAAAATATGATGGTGTATGACCTTTTGCTTTTAGAAAAGCAAAAAAAGAAAGAAGGTAAATTGTATGCTTATAACTCAGAAAATTCCCAGAATTGAGCTTCCATAGAGGGGAATCTATTCCATCATTACTTGGAAACATGAACCTGTAAGAGCAAATATCTTATATCTGTCAACAGTCATTTTTTCGGTTTGTTGAGAGCAAAAGCTTCAGTTTGAGACAAAAAATTGTTGTTAGTTACCAGTGGTTAGAAGCTTGTTGGTGTCAAAAGCAAATATAGCTTTCATGAAGTCCTAAGTCCTTTATTAGTGCGAATTTTTTACTTTTGAGGAAGTAATGTTTGATAACTGATGAAGAAATAAACTGAAATATAATATTTATATATGAATACGGTTCATATTTCAGAAAGAATTGATATAAAATATTTACAGGATAACCTATAATTAGAAATGACAAGACCTACACAGAAATTCTTAAGCTATATAAGAAATATATTAATCGTATAAGAAATTAATTAAAAAAAGAAGTAATTGTTGTGTAGTTCTCAAAGCAGCTATGTGAAAAAAACATGATATAGAAAAATATTTTTATAATATGGGAATTTGTGGAAGAACGAATTATTGTGTATCTCATTGAATATATGACCCCATATATACAAGTGAATAGTGACAATACCCTTTTACCTTAATGTAACCTTAATGTATATTTATTAACATAATTTCTTATTATTTAATAATAAGAATGCTGAAATCACATGTTTAGAAAAATCAAATTGACTAAAATGTTAACATGAGTACTCTATTATGGTCAAGACGTAAAAATTTGATAAGATCATTGATAGAAGAAGTTGAAGAGGGTGTTAAGAGTTTTAGCAGAGAAGAAAGGAGAAGACAATGAAACACACCTGTCAGAAGATTATATTTGTGTATATAATTCTTGCTTTCAAATATATATTTGTGTATATAATTCTTTCAAAAGATAATCTTATTATCTAAAAATTGCTGCTCTGAGAAATAATTGTGATTGCTCCATTAAAGCAGTCAATTTGTATTTCTTTAAGTTACATTTTGAAAAAAAAAATAATAAATGCATTATTACTAACACAAATAAACCATAAGAAGGCTAGGCTTTCTGAAAGAGTAAGTCTAAAAACACACGACCAATCAGAGCCTAACCATGTAGCATATACACACAGAAGTAAGCACATGTTACATGTATGAAAAGCAACCTTGAGAACTTTTGAAAATCCAAATTTCATGTTGATAACTGACTCTTTTTTGGTTTAGGCCAAGTAAATTGTTTAGGCACTCTTACCATTTCTATTTGTAATCTGGCGGCTCTATCAACAAATACACCATTTGATTGCATGATCTCCTTTTCAGGGGTTCATTCGTTCTTCTGTGACACAAGATAAAGATGCAATACAGATGAAGCCAATGAACCCGCCACTAGACATTAAATTACCAGCACCAACAGAAGTAAGAGTTGAGAGAAACTCTGTAACATCATCCACCCCTAGAGAGAGAGATGTACCACCATCAACCATCTCGAATGATTTCAATACAGCCAGCACACAAGAAAGTGAAGAGGATGAAGATGATTGGGACACCTTCCAGTCATTTCCTGCCTCAACAAGTACATCCAATTTACAAGTGGAAAGTGTTGCAGAAGAGCCTGGCCTGGTTGAAAACACTTCTAATTCCGAGCTTTCTGCTTTAAGTGAAGACTCTCAAGAGCAGCCCCATTTTCAGCCTCTCAGTGTTGTACAAACTAGTAGTGCTGAGCATCTAGAGGCTTGTGAAGGGCTGATTGTATCCAATAGTGATCAGGTCGAACAAAATGATTTTAGGACTGAAATTGCCGAACCATCTGAGGTTCAAAATCAAGATAGCGAAGAGAAAACAATATCAGGCTTGGAGCAGAAAGAGGAAGCAGCTTCAATACATCTTGAAGATGCAGAAGGATCGCCTAAGGAGCTTGGGACGGAGGATCCTGAACCAAAAAGGGATAGCCCGGATTATAATCACGGAGTATCATCAAGTGATGCTGAGGGACTGATTGAAATAAGTAAAGTTGAAGATGAGTATGGGATACAGAGTCCCAACGACAAACTCGATCTTCAAGAGTTACCGGATTCTCTACCAGCTGACGGACTATCTTGTAATGAAATTCCGGAGAGGAAAACCGATGGTCAATCCAAGGAAAGGCAGGTTCGGAA